GCTTCTCCCTCTCCCACTCCCCCTGCTTGTATTCCCTCTCTCGCTGTGTCTCTCTCTGTCAAATAAATAAAATCTTAAAAAAAAAAAAACAAAAAACTGGTATCTCACACACACACCTACGTACACATACAGACATACACAGGTATAATATGTAATAACTTATGTAAACTGATGTTAGTTTACATAGTAAGATTGGATAAGGCAAAACATATTAAAAAGGCAATATAAACTTAGTTTGCCAAAATAGTTACATCTATTTTTTAAAATATTACCTGTGTGCTACCCTTACAGACAAAACAGATGCACTACCACATTTCTAGAAGTCACCTACAGAAGATCCTTCAAAAATATCTTTTTCTCCCTACCAACGAAAAAAATTAGAAGACAAAAAAAGAGAGAGGGAAATAAAGGCAGAGCATTTGGGTTTTACTGGTGAGAGGGCAACCGCTTCCGGAGTTGGATAAGGGCTCCACATGTTCTGTGTGTGCACCCTCGGATCCAGTGAGACCAGTTAGGTTTATCTAATCTATAGCTCAAAAATTTGTACACAAAAACACTGATAGCAGCAGTTTTCTTTTGGAAACCTGAAAAAACAGTTCACAAAAAGAGGACTGGTTAAGAAAATTACTGTATCAAAAACAATGAAACATAAATTTTAATATATAAATACAATTATTCCGAAGCCAATCAAAAGTGAAGCTGTTCAGATCAAAGCAGGCCAGGAGGCTCCCAGAAAGATTAATAAATATTTAGTTGACAAGCTATCTAATACGTTTGAATATATTAAGAGGAGATTACACAACTGGAAGAGAGCTTGGGAATAATTTAGAAGTAAGTACATAAAAACCAAGCAAATAGGGGCGCCTGAGCGGCTCAGCAGGTTAAGCGTCTGCCTTCAGCTCAGGTCATAATCCCAGGGTCCTGGGATCAAGCCCCACGTCGGGCTCCCTGGTCGGTGGGGAGCCTGCTTCTGCTGCTCCCCCTGCTTGTGCTTGCTTGCTCTCTCTCTCTCCCTCTGTGTCAAATAAAATAAAATAAAATCTTAAAAAAAAAAAATTTTTTTTTTTTTTAAAGTCAAGCAAGTAAAAAAAAAAAAACCACCACTCACTTTAGGGAAAACATAATGTTGCACCTAGAAGTAACCTATCATCCATTCTTAATCATAAATGACACGTGATCTAACCAAAATTATGATATAATTATGTTGCGTTTCAGTGGGAAGGGAGGCAGTGTTGTGAGAAATGTCCATATTGTACGGTGGAAGAAAAGGAGAAAAGAGATCTAAGGTCTCATCCTCCTCAATGGAAAATCAACAGGTGATTCCTAAAATTTGAAAATAAGCATATGATTTAGATATACCAAAAAATCAATTAAAAACCATCAAGAGGGTTTGCCCAGGGGCGCCTGGGTGGCTCAGATGGTTAAGCGTCTGCCTTCGGCTCGGGTCATGATCTCCAGGTCCTAGGGTCGAGCCCCACGTTGGGCTCCCTGCTTAGCAGGGAGTCTGCTTCTCCCTCTTCCTCTGCCTCTCCCCACTGTTCCTGCTCTCTCTCTCAAATGAATAAATTAAAAAATTCTTAAAAAAAAAAAAAAAAAGAGGGTTTGCCCAAATCCAGGAAGCAGAACAGGGAGAATGGATAAGAGGACTGTTATATTTTGCTGTAAGTCTTATAGGAGCTACTCTTTAAAGAAATAAGAATCAGTTACCTGGAATCTTCCGATATGTCCCTGTAGCTCCATTAGAGATCCTTCATTTACATCAACATCAAGTTCATTTAATATACCTATAAAATTTGGAATGCTTTTAAATATAGTTTTATAATCAACAAAATAAAAACATTAAAAAACCAGGAAGAGTGGTTCTAGCATTTTATGTTCCTTATGTATAAGAACAGACACAGACTTGCCATGAAGGAGCTTTGGGAAATACAACTTCACAAAGATTGTAAGTTCACCACTTGTTCATTTATATGCAACCTAAATCTAGACTGAATTCATAATTTTAAAAGGTACTTTTTAAAGGTTTTGATATAAACCTACTTTTTATTTATAACCATAAAGTTAAAATTTTCTAAACTCAGTAAATTACTTTCTCATGAAAGAGTTTAGGATATAAAACACTTATAATGAAATACATTTCTTTTTTCATTTAACTCTCCTAGGTACTGTATATTTGCTTTTTTTTCTTTTCCCTCAAGCAAAGTACAGTTTGCACATACACAAAAAAGTTCCCATGCAACTTCTGTTTAGACTTAGTACAAAATTCTTAAATCACAGTGATCAACCTCTCAGAGTATCAGGGAAAAAAACCCTTTATTTCTATCAAGTCCTCCAAGCAAACCCACTGGTTTCTTCTTTGTTCCACGGCTGTCGTCATGCTGAGGATCCACCTGCACCTGTCCTAGTCACCCTGACTTTGTGTGCGCAATCCTTTTAATTCAGTCCTCACTTCCAAGCATGCACTCCAGAGCATGTAACCCAGAACCTTATCCTTTGCTCCTCATAATGACAAGACCTCCTCTTTCTAGATCTCTCAGCCCAGGACCTCACCCAAACCCACAGAAAATACCCCTATCCTTTGGTACCTGCTGGCTTGCTCTACCTCACCTGTGCCTCATTACTCTACCCCTTCCCCCTCTGCCTCTTCCGGGAGTCTGCTCCCAGAATCACCTTCTTTTCCAGCTTACCAAAATCTACCCTGCCACAGAGGATTTTTCCACACTTTTTGAAAATATGTTCAGGTCTCCCTTGTATTCCAAAACAAAACAAAAACAAGCAAAAATCTGGATAATATCAAATTCTTGAAATATTTTTTCCACATTCACTGCTTGCAATTTTAAGCCCTTCTTTCCCACCCTAGCCCTTGAAAGCTGGATCGTGTATCTAATACTATCATGGAATTCAGGCCTTTTCCTCTTTGTCCTCAAACCTCCTGATCTCTGCAACATGTATTGCTACGCCCCAGTTCTTTTCTTCCACCTGCTGCCTCTGTTTAAAAAGACTACTTGGGGCGCCTGGCTGGCTCAGTGAGTGAAGCGTGGAACTCTTGATCTCGGGGCTGAGTTCGAGCCCCGCACTAGGTATAGAGATTACTTAAAAATAAAATCTTTAAAAAAAAAAAAAAAGGCTACCAATTCTCAGTTTCTGTAAGACCCTTCTAAGTGTCAGTTGAGTCCTCTGTGTACCATTTGTATTGCTCTCAACTCCAAAACACTCTCCAGAATATTTTTGAGTCATGAAAAAAATTAACCTGCTGGTCGGTATTTGAGGAGGTAGGACATACCCAGTATAAGGCTAGGCAATAAAGGGGACACAGTTATAAATGGGCTTATAACTTAACGGGAGCATTTAAGATAAAAAAATACATACAGTAAAATTATGGAAGAATACAAAACAGTATGTCATCAAGGGCTAAACTGTGCAGAGTAGGGTTGATAGGAATTAAAACTGTTAAGAGTTTGTTTAAAAAAATTGGGGAGGGTATTCGGCATTATCTCCCCCCCAAAAATTTAAGTATATATATTTTCAGACCAAGCACTGTCAGGAATTTATCAAGCCTACCAGCTCAAATCTACAAAAACACTTATGTGTACACACACACACACACCGAGTTATTAAAAGCCACACTGTTGGAAATTTAAAAAAAGACTGGAAACAGTCAACATGTTACAGGGGTCTGGTTAAACAACAAAGATCTGGTTAACTCTCACAACTGGAAAATTATGCAGCCAATTTAAAAGAATGAGGTAGGAGCTCTATATGATGATGAGAAAAGATCTGGAAAAAAGAATTACAGAGCAGTGTGTATAGTATGATTTCATTTGTGTAGGGAGGGGACAATTTTACACCATATGCATAGAAATTTCTAGAAAAGTAAACTGATAACTAATTCCTTTTAGATAACAGGAACTGCTAGTCATGGTACTTTATACTCTGTTCTTCTATTTTGTTTGAATTTATCATGAGCATGTTAAAAAAACTGCTTTTCCGAATACAATCTTAATACATTGACAGGGTCAAATGATGCTATTAGCAAAATACAAAAATTTTAGGCATTTAAAAAAATTAATGACAGGAGACTTCATGAATAAAACCACCTTATGAGAGGATTTGATAAAAGGTAAATTCTCTTTATACCTAACTCAGCACTTCTAGGTGAAGATGGTAGAATGAAGTAGCATCATAGAATGTCCCTCCTGTTGGAACGCCTGGGTGGCTCAGTCGGTTAAGCCTCTGCCTTCGGCTCAGGTCATGATCCCAGGGTCCTGGGATCAAGTACCGCATCGGGCTCCTTGCTCAGTGGGGAGCCTGCTTCTCCCTCTCTCTCTACCCCTCCCCCCTGCTCTCTTGCTCTCAATAAATAAATAAATAAATAAATAAAGTGTCCCTCCTGTCATCAACCTACAGAATGAATGAAATTCACCAAAAGGGTGTGGGGGTGGGGAGACTTATGCCACAAATACTGAAAAATGGTGATGGCAAAGGACAAAAAAAACAGAGAAAATTCTGGTGAAGCAAGCAGCATGATTCAGCTCATGACCCTTATTCCACTCCTCAGATGCAGTGTGAAGGAAAGAAGATAGACCAAAAACTCTTGCAAATTCTCATGGAGACTCTTCAATTTGCAGAGAAGCCTTTTAGAGTAATTAGGTAAGGCCTAGAGAAATCAAGGGAAAAGCGTTAGGAGAACCACTACAAAGCACCGTGGGACCTTAGTAGAGGCAAGAAGGACGGCCTGACTGGTATCATCCAAAAACACGGGATGAGCTGGGGAAATGAGCATAACAAGCCTCCAGGACTGAGACACGCCACGACTGGGTGGAGTGGAAGCTGCGCTCTCCTCAGAATAAGCACGGGCTCCCAGTGCTTGCACGGGCACTGCCCTCCGCCCTACCAAACACTCTTCTCCCAATACAAAGGGCTCAAGCACTGATACCCCCTAGAGAGGAAAACATATCAGGGTTGGGGGGTGGAATCATGGGCTGGCCTCAGACTTGGTAGCAACATAAAAATGGAGGTAGCAGAGTCTACGAGTTAACTGCACAGGCTCAGAAGCCATACTGGCTGGGAAACCACACCACCAGTATTATATATGTGACTCTGGACAAGGCAAGCTCTCTGTGCCTCAGTTTCCTCATTTGTAAAATGTGGAAAATAATAGTTCTACCTCGTAAGACTGTTGTGAGGAATAAATAAATATACTAAGTGTTTAAAATAAGTACTTGGCACATTATGCTTAATAAATATGAGCTATTATCATGAGCTACAAGGTCTGAGGGAAATAAAATCATAATCAGCTATGCCATCATTCAAGAACAGAGGCAACCTTTAGACGTTGATAAACATTAGAGAATTCAGGGACTATAATATACTTCCTTTTTTATTATGTTATATTAATCACCATACATTACATCACATAATATACTTTTCTTGGGGGAGGGGACCTCAATACAGATTAAAAATACCAAGAGATAGGGGTGCCTGGGTGGCTCAGTTGGTTAACTGTCCAACTCCGAGTCTTGACATCTAGCCCGGCACCGGCTCCGTGCTCAGTGCAGAGTCTGCTTGTCCCTTTTCCTCTCCCTTTGCCCTCCCCCTGCTCACAAGCGCTCTTTTCTTGCTCTCTCTCTCTCAAATAAATAAATAAAATCTTAAAAAAAAAAAAATAATAATAATAGCTCTTATGCTCCCGTAGTAAAGAAACATTTGTCTGGAATTCAGCAATGTCTTCAATTTCTCTTCAATTAATTCTTTAATCTGTTAAGTTCCTGTAAAATTAGGGGCACCTGGGTGGCTCAGTCGTTAAGCGTCTGCCTTCGGCTCAGGTCATGATCCCAGGGTCCTGGGATCGAGCCCCGCATCGGGCTCC